GACTAGGTTAGAGTCAGTAAGTTTCGGACTAGTATAATAACTATCAGATACTAGGTTAGAGTTAGCAAGTTTCTGGAAGGGTCATCAACTCAGCCCACAACACTTAATACACTAGGAGTCTTGTTGGAGTCGGCCAGTTCCAGATAAGAGTTGTTTAGTGGAAATATCTTACCCTTTTTGATTAACCGGTGCAATTTATTCCTCTACTCCGAGTTAAGGATGCCCGAGCACTTGGAGCAGTCATGGAATCTGTAGAACCTTCGCCTTGGACCGACGGTAAACCGACACTTTGTTATTTTATAATCCTTAAGAAGATTCCGTTTATAATTTCCAATCCAAATTCAGAAGTCAATTATTAAAACCTTTCTGTTTGATCGTTTGACATTTTAGATAGAGCCACACCCCTGAAATGCACCAAAACTCTCTTTTTGAGCAGACGATCCACGTGTAGGCGAGCTCCACCATTCAGAGAGAGAACACCGCCTTAATCGCATCAGCGACCTCCTTAATACACTATATTACTCCCTTGGTGTTCAAGTCACCATCGTCAGTTGAATATTAATGACAATATTATTCTTGGTAAAGAAATGATATAATTCATGTATTCACAGTGACTAAATATACACCGTTCTTTTCCTTTTTTACTTCAATTTCTTTTCAATAGCATTTTCTCTAAAAACCTGTATTCAACCTCTTATTGTGCATCGAGATGAAAATAAACTCAGGTTGGTTTGAGCTATTTAGGATTTAAGTAGCTTTAAAGAGACAGTGACTTTCATTTTTAACGTCATATTAGCGGGAATTCAAGAATCAATTTGAAACGAGACTATATTATTTCTGATTATATAACAGCATGACAAACGCAGTGAAATTCAATTGGAGTTGGATTCCCTATTCTAAAATAATGATAAATTTGAGAGGGGAGGAGGGGGGGGGGGGGGGGTGGTTGTGGGTCCGCTTACAGTTCTGGTTCGCTTTCCGCTTTATAAGTTGTTATTCTATGAATAATCCGACGAGGGAACTATTGCTTTCTTTCAGGACAAACTTAGTACGTGCTTAGAGAACTATTTTGATTGTCAAGTCTCTTTAATACATATAACCAGGTATATTAATGGTTTCCACCGACCTTAATCTTTTATTTCATCAAACAATTAAGGAGTCCAGTCATTTAGAGGAAAATCATGTTTTGAAGGGGACTTCAATTTGATACAGGCTGGTGTATGTCAATGTTTAAACCAGTTTTATATTTTAAGTGATTAGATATTGATCTATAGATTGGTTATCGATCACTTTGTTAAGCTTTATTGATTCTGAAAGGGAATAACTATGGTTAGATTTGATATTTGGTATTTAGGTTTGTCGAGACGCCATCTCTTTCAGAGAGTCCACATAGCAAATTATGTTGTTATGTATTTAGGTCAACTTGACATTTCTTTCAGAGAACCCACACCGAAAAAAATTTTTTATTTGGTATTCTGGTTTGTAGACTCAACAACACCCAGTTCAGAGAGTTTGTCGAGTCGGGATTTTTTCCAGAGAGTCCACAATAATGTTTAGTTGGTATTTAGGTTTGTCGACATGGTATCCTTGGAGAGTCCGCTTAGTTTTTATAGGATATTTTTTCTATTTCACTCCACAAGTTCATTTGAGTTATTTGAAAAGTTTTGAAGTGACTAATGTACTAATAAACAGACGAATACAGACCACGTCCACACAGACTACATTTCATTTTATATATCAACTTAAAAAAAAACTAAAAACAACTAAGATTTTAATTTCCATTCATAAGATCACGTTTCATGTTTTTAAAGGATTGTAAAATTGAATGAATCAAAACTTTGTATTTGAAATAAACCAAAATAAAACACTTAAAGATGGTTTTCCTTATTTTTTAGTGTCAAATTAAGCAAACTATTTGGTTAATTGGTGTTTTTAATGAATTATCATGTATTCTTAATCATATCATTATGTTCTTATTGCATATAATTAAGAGTTTTAACCAATCATAAAGGTCCATGTATGTACAGTCTGAATAAACTCTTTGAGCTTTCTTGATCGGTCACTCATTAGAATTCTGCTGGTAATTCTCTTCTAATTTAGCCCATTATGAATTAATTATAGACATGTAAAACAAACTGGTATTTTTCCAAGTCATAAGAACACCTCTACTTTCTATTCATATATGTATTAGTATTTTCAGTTTCATGAATGAAAATAAGGGAACCCATCTTTAAGAACAGGACAAGTTTCTTGATCATTTGTCTATAACTTACAGGGTAAACAGGGTGATGTATAAGGGTGCAGGGATTAGGACTTTGGGGTAGGGGTCAAATTTTTAAGAGCCAGGAGTATCAGCGAAATAACTTTTATTCAGAGTTCAATATAGAATGTTTAATATTTGCATCCAGAAACAAACTGGATGGAAGTAAGGCATTTTAATTCACACCAAAAGACAATAAGATATTTGAAAAAGTGCATGTCACATAGCAGTCTGATTGAAGGGATAGTCTCTCACAGTCACCTATAAATTAAATATTGTCTTTATCCTAAAATATTTTACAAGAGTTATGTCCCTTGGACTATTAGGTTTTTTCTTGTTTGAAAAATGGGTGTTTTCTTGGAAAAAAAAAATATAATGGATTTTTGTGAATTTACTCATTATATAGTTTTATAATCACATCATAAAATTCTCCCAACTGTAGACCAAATACGGATGATTGATTATTGAAAAATCGGTCATTGTGCGAAAACAAAGTCTTAACGTCTCTCATCTGGCTCCGCTGTAAATCCAGACAGTTTCTTATAATTGTGAATGAATAACGATTTTAGTGATTATCTGGAATATGAAGTTGACACAAAACTTGCCGTTGGATGCTATAGTATAGTTACATAGTATAGTTCATCTTTGAATTAAAACTGAAAACCAAACCAAACTTTCGTTCCGTTTAAAATAAAGACAGCTTTCTTAAACATTCGTCAGTTTGATGATACCGCCAACCAATCAAATGCCTGCCCTCTCCAGCACTGGGATTTTATGACGCGAACGAGAGAGTGATCTAATCTTAATTAGAATATTCTGTAACCTGGGCCAGTGCTTTTATTGAGACTCGTCTCAATACACCCTAAACCCGCCCTTTTCATGTTAAAATTAATATATCATCTGATCAGTTGTCCAAAGATCACGCAGCGAGAGAAATGAAATGAATGGACTTTTACGTCTTACTTTTCTGCACCATGTGGGCTAATGAAGACGGGCAATGTCATGCAGTGTGCAATGGGAGAAACAGTCCTGTACAAAGGTGACAGGACAGCGGCATTAGCCTGCTCTTTTTCGATTTCCAACTGTCGAGGGATCTTTAAGTGTACAACCTGTAGCACGGACCTTTGTTTATTGTCCCATGCAAACGACTAGACGCTTTTTCCGTGTCAACCTCTCTTACCTGCATCGCTGACAAGGGGAAACCGGGTTGAAAAAGTCGAAGGTATCATCTCGATCTCTATATAACATGATTTTTCAACCTTGTTTTTACTATCACACCTTTCAAGATTCTTGATCAATCACCAACATTATCCAACTTCCTTCTATAAATCATTTGTACTTTGTCATTTTTGCTGAAATCTTTTTCATGTCGGAGAATATATATAAGTAAATAGAATGATTTAAATTATAATTGTCCAAAATTGTACAAAGCGACTCATTAGCCAAAAAATTTCTAAATTACCCAAAGGTTAAAAACCCTGCACCACAAGTATTGAACTCTATTTTAACAGTGACAATATTTTATGATTATAATGACTATCTAAGAGATAATAACAATGAATAGTACATGTTTATTATAATAAAGAGAGTAAGCGGATCCCGTGTTGACTTGTACACGTGAATTATAATATGAATTCCGGTTGTCTTAATAATTCTTCTTGCTCTCTTGACAATCGAGACTAGTGACTACAAGATAAAGCCCCATTCACACTCCATATTTAACTTTCCTGTTTCATCTCTCACTAGGCTACGAGTACACGAGGTATGCTTTTGACAACAGTTGCCTTTATTACGGTGACTATTTTACTATGGGAAAAACTTTCTCTGTCAATGACAGATCGTATAGTATTCAGTTGATAAATTAGTTCCATACTTATCAGAATATACCTTTCCGTTCGCATCACAAAACTCAAGCGCTGGAGAGGGGAGAAATTTGATTGACTGGTGGTGTCATCAAACAGATGAATGTTCAAGAGGGCCGTAGTTAGACTCTAACTGATGTTGCTGAATCAAAAAAAGGGCTAATAGAAAAAACGGAACGAAAGTTTGGTCTAAATTTAGTTAGACTGAAATGAAACAACATATTATGCTAAAGGTTGTGTACGTTAAAGACCCCACAACATTTGGATATCATAGAAGACTAATAACTCTTTCCTGTCCTAGTAGTATTTCCCTCATCACACACCAGATCACGCTGTAAGTAAGTAAAATCCCGATTGTAATCAGAACTACTGAACATACCAAATTTCCCTCATTGCACACTGTATGGCGTTGTCCGTCCTCCATTGTATTATACGGAGCAAGGGAGTAAACCCCACTAGTTTTCAGGTCAATAAAAACCTCTAGTGTAACCCCATCGTATCCCGTATACGGGTTTTGACGCGGTCTTTTTATAACCCGTATTAAACTTAACCCGCTGTATTCTGTATCGTTCATATTAATCAAGACATTTTTAATGACACACTGCTTTCGTTTTGTTTACGTTCGCGTCCGTAGCGTCATAACGAGTGGTTTAATTTGATTGGCTGAGTTTTCCTAGAAAGATTCCAGGGCTAATTTTGATTGGATAATATTTATCTAATTTTTCTAACTTATATTACGACGGTCTCGAGAAAGTATGACGAATGGAGGAGTGGTTTGGATACAATGGTGTAACCCGGGCTTGGTTTGAACAAGTATCCGGAATGTTGAGAACTGCTACTGTATGGCGCATTAGATCCTTCTCTGTTAATATCCGTCACGTGACTATAATATTAATCTATAACCACCGCTTGTCTCCATTCGCCCAATCAAGATCGGATTAATAGGACGTAAAATATCATTTCATCCGGGATATTCGGATAGATCTGAGATTCCTTGATATTTCATTGGATCAGAGTAGAACTATTGAATTCTAAATCAAAGAAAAAGGTGGAATAGAAAACGTTGGGAAGTTTTGAAGTTTAAAGATTTATGAAATTGAATGATAAAAAAGTTTGAAAAATGCATCTAATCACTGGAATATTATTTTGTATGTTTCTTCAGCTCGTCTTCACACAAAAACGTAAGTAAATCATTTAAAAAAAAAAAACTATTTATTTAGTTAAGCGACATGTACTACTGTAACAACCTGTATTGTAGTACCGTGTGAGGCACAGGGATATCATAGAATATCCAGCAATATTAATGGCTCACCTTTGTACAGATACCAAAAGCGGATGCGGAATTTGCTTTTTAACTTAGTGTAAATTCTCAAAAAGCAAGCAACTCACATATCACGTCTGAGGAATAGGTGAGGTCAGGTTTCTCGGGCTACGCTTTAGCAAGCAGGTCATTGTTTATATCAAAAAGAAAAGAAAATACAAAAAGCTCTAATATGATTCACAAGATGTTAACTGTGTTATTTGTAAAGTATAAGATAGTTACTAGAAGTATCAAAATTAACAAAACGCCCTCAATATTACACTAGCACAATATTATTCTTGAAAGAATCTATGTCTTTTTCCTTCAATTTCAGCCTGTGATCCGATAGATGACGGACCATATCTAGGTACACAACCAACATTAGATATGAGCATTTACGAAGCTTCTCAAAGTGGTAAGATCTTTAAAGCAATTCACGTATCAATCAATCAACCCCCCCCCCCCCCTAACAAAAAAAACACGCCACCCCTTTCGACCAGATCTCAGTTTGGCCCAGTTGTGCCCCATGCTCTCAAATTTCTTATCATTTTACAAAGGGAAAATAACTCGAGGCCCACTATGGATACATAGAATTTAATCGCTTCGAAAAGCCCATAAACAAAATTGACCGCCTTCTGACCACCTACCGTCGTCTTGATGGTCGTAGACTTCAACTGCATAAGATCCGTTTTGTGAGAATAAAGGGCACAATCAAAGAATAAGATGACTGGGTTTACAGGATTTGGTGCAGCAATGTAGTCTTAATTGAACGCTAGAGCAAAAAGCTTTTGTGTGCTGCTCTGCTTGGCCTTCGTTTCACAATTGTTGGATCGTCAGGGCTTTGGTGAAATATGTCAACGCCATACTAAAAGAGCAAACTTCTTTCAGATCTTGATCGGAATCCAGGCGGGTACCAAGCGGAGTTAAGGATATATGGTAAGACAGGGGAGACAACTGCTGATGGTATAATACTAGAGGTACAGGATGACTTCCCCTTAACAGATCCTAGAACAATCCTAGAGTTTACCAAAGACCCCGCTACCAGTAAAAATATCATCAAGTTGATAAAACCAGTCGATAGAGATGTAAGTACAAACTGGACGTAAAACTCGATTTAATGTCTATTCTTGATCCAGTACGGGGCGTAACATTTTGAATCTAAGTTACTACCACAGAAAATACCGCGAGAGACATAAGAACATAAGATACATAATTATTTGTCGTATTCATCCGATCAATTATGCTAGTAATCTTTATTCGTTATTTAGATGAATACAAGATGTAAATATCATCAACAATCTATTTCAGGGTCCAACAGATAGTACAGAAGATGGGATACAGTTACTTCCCTTTACTTTAAAATGTTCTTCATCTACTGATAAAACTGTCGTGGTAAGTAAGATCTCCATTTCATCAAAGGTAGTTAAAAATATTGGAATTAAACTATCTCAAGTTGCCATCAGTGAATTGTATTTGAATTTGTCACAATAATTAGGTCTCACAGTAAGTTATAGTGACAGTAAATTGGTCACAAGGTAAGTTGGTCACAAGGTAAATTGGTCACAAGGTAAGTTGGTCACAAGGTAAGTTGGTCACAAAGTAAGTTGGTCACAAGGTTAATATACACAGGTCGCAAAAATTAGAACTCAAGATAATTGGTCACAATGCAATATGGCCACAGTAATTTGGTCACAATGCAATATGGTCACAGTAATTTGGTCGCAATGCAATATGTCCACAGTAATTTGGTCACAATACAATATGTCCACAATAATTTGAACACAATGCAATATGGCCACAGTAATTTGGTCACAATACAATATGGTCACAGTAATTTGGTCACAATACAATATGTCCACAGTAATTTGGTCACAATGCAATATGTCCACAGTAATTTGGTCACAATGCAATATGGCCACAGTAATTTGGTCGCAATGCAATATGTCCACAGTAATTTGGTCACAATACAATATGTCCACAGTAATTTGGACACAATGCAATATGGCCACAGTTATTTGGTCACAATGCAATATGGCCACAGTTATTTGGTCACAATGCATAATGGTCACAGTAATTTGGTCACAATGCAATATGGCCACAGTAATTTGGTCACAATGCAATATGGCCACAGTAATTTGGTCACAGGTATATGACCACAAGCTAATACGATCTCCATGATGGATATTGGCTTCATTGATCCTCTAACAGACCTAACATTTCATAGTAATTTTGGTACTTGTTTTAATTCTGTCTCATCCTGATCAACATAATGTTTTATTATGAGTTTATTGTTTTATTTTCTAGAGATATTACGATGTACGAGTGTTTATATTGGATATTAATGACAACTACCCACAGTTTACCCAGTCTACTTACAATATAACAGTGAACGAGGTAACCAACATCTTTTATTTTCCAACTCTTTCGATAGATCTGTAATCAATAACGTGGCTATTTCAGATAATATAAAAAAAACTTGGAGCGAATATCTTCTCATCCACATTTTCATTCTTTAGTTCATCAATACGGTGGTTTATTTAGGACATGTTTATTGTTTTATTTATGATTTAATTCCTCTTATTTTTCATTTTTGTTTGCTGAATTATCATTTTTTATTTACTGTTTTCTGTTTTTGTTTGCTGAATAATGATTTAATTTTACTAATTTTTTTATTTTTGTTTTGAAAAATGAAAGAATTAAATCATAAATGTCCTAAACAAACCACCGTATACTAAAGCAAAATTGACTCAAAACTTCATTTTATTCCAGTTAACTCCAGTAGGAAGTGAGATACTGAGAATATCAGCTACAGATAAAGATGAGAATATCCTGAACAATATGACGTATAGTATTATATCTCTACCAGGCTCTGTGGTAAATATATTCGTCTTGGTTGTACAATATTCTACTTGTTCTATATGTTTGGTTGTCAGTCTGTACAAACCGATGATTGCATATGGTTGCTGGGTAGATAACGTCTGCTCCGTGGCATATTTATGAGGGGGGGGGGGGGCTGAAAAAAATGAAAATTTTATTCTACTTTCACTGCCAAAATCGAGTTAAATGCACTCTCCACCCTTCTAGATTAGAAATTTTTCCTCCTGGCACGAGACCTTATTCCATGGCTTCTGAACATTTGGGCACCTTTTAGCTTTGAACCCCACACTATTTATTATGATATCTATATTTACTACAATCAGATGGATGCTTCGATGTATTTTGATATTGAAGAATATACTGGTACCATCACAGTCTCCCGAACACTCGATTATGAAAGTTTGGGGACAGACAGAAAATATTTTACATTAACAGTCGAAGTACAGGTATGACTATTTTTTTTAATGAAAATTTAATTAGTTCTTGAGTTGCAACCAACGAAACTTTTATGACCGTATATATATGTTAATATCTCAAAAGTTCTTAGTATGGTGATGTTATATAACACTTAATGTTAGTGGAATGATTGCAAGAGCCACAGACGTTTGACTGCGAATTGGAATGATGCAAATGGACACTATCAGTGTCTCACATACAGATATAAAAAGTTTGATAATAGCTTTAGGTAAAGAATGTACTCTAATCAATATGTAATATTGCAGGACGGGGCTGGTAAATCCAATCAAACATATGTTACTATAAATATATTGGATGGAGATGATCAAGGTGTAGCCTTTGTTTATCCAGGCTGTTTAAGCCACAGGGGAGTGTGTGCCTGGCCTAAATATTCCTCCTTAGTGAGTCAGCTGAAAATGGTATGTTTTTACCTCTAGTATGGGGGTGGGGGAAAGGCAGAGAGAAAATATTTGTTTACATCCTATAACATGGACGATGCATTTGTATCAACTTTGGGACTCACAGAAACTAACGAACATTGGCGAAGGTTCGGCCGAATGATGTATCTGGTTATTAGACCAAACTTTCATTCCGCTTTTCGCTTTTTATTAACTTTTATTTTCAATTTAAACACTTTAAAGCATTCGTCAATTTGATAACACCGTCAGCCAATCAAATTATTTTCCTCCCCCAATACTGGGATTTTGTGACGCGAACAAAAGGTACATTCAGTGTCTAAGGCTTCTCGGAATACACTTTTTGTTCGCGTCACTAAATCCCAGAGTTAGAAAGGGCAGGAATTGGATTGGTCGGTGGTGTCTTCAAACTGGCGAATGTTCACGAAGGCCGTCGTTAGACGCACTGGGAACTGGAAATTTGTGGATGGACGCTCAACCTGTAGGAAACTGTCGAATGATGCTAGCGCTGTACGAGAATAGAGAATAGATTAAGAACTATATTTTGTATTTTATAGAATAAACAACTGATGGTGTATCCTGTTCCCAATAAAATATCTAACTACACCCTAATACAGGCCAGAGACCTGGACCTTTCACTTAAATCCCGTATACAGCTCTCTATAGCTTCTAGTGAGTATTCCTTGGTTATTTCTGGGTGTAGAAGTCTGGTATTGTATAAGTAGGGTGGTGGGTTGCAAGCAAAAATCACAATGAGTATCTATCTGAGAGGTTTATAGAGATTAGGGTGGCTGAGAAGGAGCCAGTTGCTATGGACAAGCAACTAGTCACTATTCAACAGAAGGTACTGGCACAGGGTTAAAGTTGTGTTTAAATGTGTTTTAATGTTAATTTAAGTGATTATATCGATGGCTATCGTATTCTTGCCTTTCTACTTTGCTTTGTTGGGTGAGGGGCATCAAGGTTAGAACGCAGGGAAGGGTACTTAAAGTCCAACAGGTTTGAATACGGAAGCGTCATTGAAATCTGAAATCTAGTTTTCTCTATCTAATATTCAAACTTACCGAAATCAAAATGGCCGAAAAATGGCCGTCAGATTAGATTCCAGTTATGTTATGTTTAGTCGTTATGTTTCGTTTCCAGCTATACCACCCGGCTCAGAACAGAAGTTTAGAGTAGAAACTGTACCAAACCCCGTCACTGGTCTGTATACAGCTTATATTACACCTATACAACCATTACCCACACTTCTTGATGGATTCGAGATCTTCTTGAAGGTGAGATTGTCGTTTCTTCAATACATGACGCAATATTAATCATTCCACTTGATACGGTGGCGTCATATATACCACGGTCGGATGTGCCAGTGGCTCAACTACCGTCAGAACTGATAAAACCCTTAAGTGGGCTCCCATCTCCAAAAATACAAAGTTTAAAAAATGTATTTAGTCTTCCGACTACTCCGACAGATCATTGATATATTCACATACATAGGGGTCTCAGTATTAAAATTCTCGGGGGAAGGGGCCCCATCTTTTATCTATTTGAGGAGGGCGCCCTTCTGACTCCAAACCAAGTAAATGGCAGTGAAGTTCTAGAACTTAGATCTAGAAGGCGGGGCTAGCAGGAGGTTTAACAAGCAGCGTTTTTATTTCAAAATTTTATGTAAAATTAGACCCAACTTTCGTTTCGGTTTTTTTTCATTAGTTTTTATTTTTAGTATAGCCACATAGCCACTTCAGAGTAGCGTCTAACGACTGGACTCTTGAACATTGGTTGGTTGGTAGATGACAAGTTATCGTTCGCTTCCAGCGGATGCTGATATCGCAAACTAGGTAGTTGTTAGTAGATGACAAGGTAATGTTCGCTACCAGCGGATGCTGATATCAGACTAGGTAGTTGTTGGTAGATGACAAGTTATCGTTCGCTTCCAGCGGATGCTGATATCGCAAACTAACTCTTGAACATAACCTTTGTCCTAATTTAACCAATCAAATTCGTCCAATCTCTCACAAAATGCCATCGCTGGAGAGGGCGTAAATTTGATTGGTTAAAGCAGGTTAGGTCAAAAGGTTATATACACGAATGTTTAAGAATCCGGTCGCAAAATTTGCAACAAATTTCCGTTCACTGATTAGACTATTTGAATATACTGTAACCCTAATGTTTCTCATGTTACAGGCAGAAGAACAGACAGATTTAAAAAGATTCGAAATGGCTATGATTTATTTTATTGTAAGTGTTTTTGTTCTCTCTTGTCTTGTAAAGTATAGTTAGACCAGAACTTTTGGGGTACCTACAATCATACGTTTTTTCTCGACATTTATTCAAATTAGTTCACTTGGGATGGGTCTCATAAAAAGGGAACCTTTAGGGGTGAGATTGGATGATAGTTGCACGGAGTGAGGGAGGGAGAGAGAGGGTTTTCACTGACAGTTCAATGAAGATCACCCTGAATACAAGTACAACTAAATTTCAAAAGGGTAACAAGAGTTCTATCAACTGAAATGGATATCGAATGGAAACTGTAATTGAAGCCCAATGGCAGAATGGCATCAGGTGCCCCGACTCTCAATAATGACTGTCGCCCAGTCTACTGTAAAGAAGACCTTATGGTATTTATGTATATTTACAGGACGATACTATAAAGAAACCAGAAGAAACAACTGAAAGTAGTCAAGGTACGTAACTCCTTTTAAACCCAACAAAAATCTGAGTGATAGCTGACAGGAAACACCCGATCCGCTACATGACCAGTGACATTACTACCGAGACTGACCCGGCATTGTCCACCCACTGCATGTTGAATAGGTTGTCTGTGACCCCTTCACAATTCATAGAACAAGTACCTGGTATTAATTCCATTTGGAGGACAGGTTCGCCATTTTAGGCGGTTGATTTTGGCCTTGAATATATGTAAATAGTCTTCAGAAGTACTAGAAATGTACGAAAATCCGACAAATCCTTTAAGAATACTTCAAACTAGGAATTCTATACTCAATTTCTTTTATGTCTTTTCTATATATCACAGAGTATCTTAAATTGACGAGTCGTCTTTTATAATATTTAAAAGCGAAACAATTCCAGTTTCTGTGACTAAAGTACAATCGATGCAGCTATCTCTTTAATTCATGATCTTTTTTGTGGATTTTAGTGAATCCGGAAGTGAAACCGACAGACGAAGAAACATCCGGGTACTCTCACGAGGTGACGGCACTAATCGTGGCAGTGACTGTAGTTGCAGTGGTTTTACTCTGTACTATTATAGGTTTATGTTATTTTGTCAAATATTCTACCATGTCAACCTCTAAATACAATTATAACATGCAAACGGTGAGTGAATTGAAACAGAGTTTTATGTCCTCATTTTCTTCCCATGATTGGGCCAATGGGTAATGATGGCCGGTAGTCATGCAGTGTGCAATGAGCAAATCTTGTCGTTAAGTCTAAATAAAACATGTCAAACGGGGCCATGGTTTATTGTCCCAAACCGAACGACTAGAAATTGTTCCATGTCAGTTCCTCCGACCCTTGGGGAAAGTATGAATGTTTTATATCCAACTAGCTTCATATAAAATGAGCATCTATTATGGCAACATTTGGTTGGACGTACAGACTGTCTAAAAAATACATGTATTAGAAACATCGGTGCTGAGAGATGTTATTAGTAATCTGGTTAATTTAGCTTCTCAGATGAGAAAAACAAAACTACACAATTAATACAATGCAATGCATTACTTTTAAACCATGAATGTTGTTTGCAATCAACAATCCAAGATGGCTTCCAAAATGGAGTCAATCACATCTGGCAAAATGAAGTGCGGTGTGCATTATTATTATGTTAAAGATCAAATATTTAATTTATTTATGAATGAATCCAATATGGCGTCCAATATGGCGACAAACTTTTACCATGTTATGATCAGTTTTTATGTTATTCTTAATAATTTCACCGTGACATCGAACAAAATAAAAATGGAGGAAACTGTATTTATTTTGAGTGAACGTTGATTTTCTTTTTTGGTATTTTTCAGAACAACCATCATAATTCCGGGTCATCAACGACGCCAATGTAATCTCCTTCACAACTTTATGATTGTAAAAAGGATTCTTCAGTCGTTTTATGTGTAGCACGGACACTGATAGCATCGAACTGACATAAATGGTCCCGATACTAGAAAATCTTATAGCGCCGTATCTTGCTAGTTATATCCAGTACTGTATAAAATAATCTAGTTTACAAGTGAAAGATATCTATTGTGTATTCACAAAAAGAGAGTCTCTTTAAAACCCCTTTAACTTGCTATTATATCCAGTACTATATCAAAAGTTCTAGTTTACAAGTCAACGATATCTAATGTGTATTTAACTTGATATTTATATCTAATTATGTTCAGAATGTTGATGGGGTCCATTATGCTCTATGTAACACGTGATCAGATATATCAATCACTCTATCATTCCAATATCATATAGACCTACCAATACATGTTTCATAGTCACAATGTGATGTCAAGTCTTATCAAAATTAGACCAAAGTTTCGTTCCATTCTTTTATTAGCTTTTTTTTTTACCATAGCCGCTTCAGTTAGGGTCTAACGACAGCCCTTTTAAACGTTCGTCAAATTGACCTTTTAACCGACCTGATATACACCGCGTCACAAAATGCCGGGGCTGGAGAGGGTAGAAATTTGATTGGTTAAAGCAGGCGTCGTCGAGTTAGGTCTAAAGGTTACTTTGACGAACGTTCAAGAGGGCTGTCATTAGACCCTATCTGAAGTGGTTATATTAGAATTGAAAGCTAATAAACAATGGAACAATAGATTGATATAATTTTGATTAGACGCAATTTAGTTAAGTAATGTTTATTCGGTATTAATATCCAAATTTATATAAATTTTATTTTTGATAATTCTGTATTTTATAAATGTATTATTGTGTCAAAATATTATTTTATATTAAAAATATGTGTTTTAAAATTCGCTATATACCCAAATTTGGGCAGAACCGTTGGAAATATAAAAAGGAGAAATCTAATGCTGCCTTCTTGGCAAAATGTATTTTTTGAACAAGAAGCTACTGCTTCAGTAGCCTAATTAGCAGCAGATAATTAGGACTGAAGACCCCTCTTAATTACAGAAAAGATTTCACTTAATTGTCGGGGTTGGCTTGCACCACCAATTTTTCCCCTACTTTATTTTCAACAAATTAAAATGTCTACCTTTTTTCTACAAAACATGTGTCTGAATGCACAAAATCATTTCATTTTTTGTAAAATTTTCTTGAGAGAACCCTCTAAGACGCTCTATGAGAGGCATGCGACTATGACACCACCACAGAGTACTCAAAATTTTGAATTCAGCCTCAGCAGTTGTCCCACCCCCTCCCCCATTGAGTCAATCTTCCCCCGATTTGTACCCTCAGTCTCGGAAGGCTGGAGCCGCCACTGTGAAAAACTCCCTTCAGTTCAATATTTTTTATAATTTTTATTTATTAGCCGGTGACAATATCTAACCAAAATCAAATAACAGCGATACACTACACCTATCTATATAATATAGTATATTTTATCGTATGTTTTATTATTATTTTTGATTAAATCATTCTTTTACACGAGCCCTAGGGTCATACCAACAACATAGAACACTCACTATCTGATCTGTTACACTCTCTATCAGACCTTACCCCCGGGCACTATCTGTTTTCTACCCCCAGGCATAGTCTAAATACTAATTGTTTCTCATGTAAATTGAATACTTGAGGGCGAGGGTTTTTGGGGAATTTGGGCGGTGACTGTAGTTAATTAAACCTTTTACCTGTTACCCATTTTTTTAGGTTAATTTGGGTCTAGAATATATGAAAATAATATAATGCTTTTACAAGATACTTCAAACTAAGAATTTTACTTTCTATTTCTATTCATGACTTTTCTATATTAGGCCCCTTTAATGTCATATGAGAGAGAAAGCCGTATTTAAGACCAAAAAACAAAAACACAAGTAAATGTTCATCTAGAACTCTCAGCCCCTACTGTGAAAATAAGAATAAATGAAACTGATAACAATATCGAATTAATTCAATAAAACCTGAAAGTATGAATTAAGTACAAACAATAAAGATATAAATCTATCATTAAAAAAATCTCGAGCCTCCCACCTGTTGTTGCTCAAATTTGTGTAAACTATACACCAAAATCTAGAGAAATATATGCCCTTTGATCTAACACTTTTGGCTAAAAAAAAAATCCAGCCGTTAATTTTTTAAACGCCAAAAATATTTAAAAACGTTACGTAAGGTTTTTAAGTTTGTTATGCTTTTTGGTAGGGGAAAGAAAACTACTGCGCGGAATTAAGTAAAATAAACACCTTATTATAGAGATATATGCCTCCTACTTATTTTGAAGGTTTCAAATAAAACCCAAACTAGGTCAAAGTGCTTAATTACCAATCAGTGCTCTTCAGTTTTAATTAATATTTCAAAACAAATTCAGTTTGATCGAGTAGATACATAGATATAAAAAACATATTTTAGAAATATTATCAGGTATAATTCACAACGTTTTTGATAATGAAAATGTTTTACAAAAAAAGGCGGACTGTCCCTTTAATATCTGATCTTTTCATAAAACAAGGCTAGCTTCAGGCAGTGTTGAAGGTAAGGTATAAAGCAAGAAAGTAATATAACATGCATTGTTGGTTCGTATTATACAGGAGTCATTCGTAGTCTTGGTCTATTCATTATATATCTATATATTTATTATTGAACTATGAGAACGACTCACTTCTACCATTGACAGGCGTTACAGTTGAACATACAGTAAGTTAGATTTTTATGTTTATATTTACAGGTAGAAATCGCATTAAATAAGGACACAAATTTATGGTATATTTCTCATGAGTTTTATTGTACCATAGAATGTCTACATATTTTCCGACAACAATGATTATGTAAATTGTAGAAACGTTGTGTGTAATTGTAGGCTATGTATCCCATAAAATTGTGGCCTATTTTTCAAAAACAACATTTCATTTCAATGTCGTTTGTAAAGTACTGGTAACATTTCTAAAAGTTTTAAAAGGGACAGTTCGCCATTCTGTTGACCAATCGTACCAAAGTCTCAGAAACGGGATTTGTTCAGCTAATCTAATCGGTAATAGTGTTCACTGCTCACCGTCAAAATTTGAGCCTTCAAATCCATGTGTGTTCAGAATTTGCGTTTGAAAGTTAGTTAAAATGACGAATATTTTTTGAGACTATGCCATATAGAATCACATACAGAAATAGAAAGTGACAATTCTAATTTGAGGTATAAATTTGAAGGGATTTTTTGTGCACTTCTGAAGACTGTTTACATATATTATTCAAGACCCAGATCAACCCCCGAAAATGGCGTATTATGGACTTTAACGCATTGAAATGGAAAATATCAACTCGTCAACAAATTGTGGAATGTATCAAAATATGAATTGAAAATATATTATTATCTAAACGATCTAATTCAGACTATAAGAAAGTGTGATTACTGATGATTGATTAGACTCACTCCTCCTACTGAATATAAAAATTTCACCAAGTAAAAGATGTGAAGATCACATTAAAGAATACACATTTCTACAAATAAATACGAGACAAGCTGTCACATTAAGCTTGTAATCATCCGACACAATCAGATATTTTAATATTCAATAAACACAATACGTAACATCTGGGCCAACGTTTTAAAAACCACATATGCCAAATTGACAGGCGTATAAACCATAATAGCATAATAACTATACCGAGTTGACAAACATAAATATCATAATAGCATAATAACTATACCGAGTTGACAAACATAAATACCATAATAGAATAATAACTATACTGAGTTGACAAACATAAATACCATAATAGAATAATAACTATACCGAGTTGACAAACATAAATATCATAATAGCATAATAACTATACCGAGTTGACAAACATAAATATCATAATAGCATAATAACTATACCGAGTTGACAAACATAGATATCATAATAGCATAATAACTATACCGAGTTGACAAACATAAATATCATAATAGCATAATAACTATACCGAGTTGACAAACATAAATACCATAATAGAATAATAACTATACCGAGTTGACAAACATAAATATCATAATAGCATAATAACTATACCGAGCTGACAAACATAAATACCATAATAGCATAATAACTATACCGAGTTGACAAACATAAATATCATAATAGCATAATAACTATACCGAGTTGACAAACATAAATATCATAATAGAATAATAACTATACCGAGTTGACAAACATAAATATCATAATAGAATAATAACTATACCGAGTTGACAAATATAAATACCATAATAGAATAATAACTATACCGAGTTGACAAACATAAATATTATAATAGAATAATAACTATACTGAGTTGACAAATATAAATACCATAATAGAATAATAACTATACCGAGTTGACAAACATAAATATCATAATAGCATAATAACTATACTGAGTTGACAAACATAAATACCATAATAGAATAATAACTATACCGAGTTGACAAACATAAATATCATAATAGAATAATAACTATACTGAGTTGACAAACATAAATAACATAATAGAATAATAACTATACTGAGTTGACAAACATAGATATCATAATAGCATAATAACTATACCGAGTTGACAAATATAAATATCATAATAGCAAGTTCAGAAAGGCAAAGCGTTATGTCTCGTAATCATTGATATTCCATTGCACAATAAACTGTCGTCAGAGCGCTGTTATTTTATAGTCGTGTAGGATGCACTAAAATGTAATAGTCTTAAAACTAAATAGTTCAAACTATCGATTTGTAAATTCATAGATAGTTATCCCATGGCTTGAATAGTTGACTCTTATTTAATATGATGATGTGGGTAAGAACTGACTGAATTGAAATTGTTAAACGTAACTAAATAACACAATATAGCACAGGACAAGTCGGTATCACCAAAACAAATTTATTATTATTGTTAAATCTAACAAAACATTATTAATGTTAACAATATTATGCAGAGAACACCGTAATGCTTGGATTACAACTCGAATGTCGAATTGTGAATTTTAAATTCGGAATTTGGCAATTCACTTATTCACAATATCCGCAACACCAATCCTGAACTTATATTTTGTATTTAGGAATATAAAAGAACAGTTTAACAATGAAACGTCACAATATACAGAGTTTGATGGTCTACAGAACAGGTACAAACTTTAATTTCATATACACGGGGTATAGGTCATACGACGCTACGTATGGTTCGTGCATGGAAAAAACACACGAACGTAGATCACAACCATTGTGAATCACTTCTTCGACTTTATGAGTCGATTTTTTGTAAATATTTCAATTAATTCTTCAAATCACGTTCAAAGAATTAGAATTGGCTTTAAAAATGATTTCGATTCTTAGTTGAAATACTTTAGTCTTTATAAAAATCATACTTGATAAGAAATTCAAAATGGTTGTGACCTACGTTCGTGTGTCATTTCCATGTAATAACTATAGGTAATTTCGTTTGGTATATGATCTTAACACATTAGTAGCACATTAAATTGCTCGAACCCAAGTGTATATATTCATCAATGGAACTAACCAGGTGTTAGACCGAAGAATCTCTATATTAGACGACATAGCCATTAAACTACATGTAATTCTAAGTATGTTTTAAAAATATTTCATTTAATGAATTATTACTTCGTTTTATGGATAATTATGGATAGATGATAGAGGGATTGTGTTGTATAGTTTCGGCACCAGGTAAGTCCACTGATGAATGCAGACTCAACAATTTTAACCTCAGCCTCAGTACTGCACCTTTAATAATATAAAATGTTATGTGCTTAATATCATTATAGGGATTGCGCGCCATTTTGTTGGGGGAGGGGGGGGGGGGGGGTCTTGAATATGTAAATAGTCTTCAAAATTACTAGACATGTAAAATTAATTGTTCACCTGGTTGGATGTTAACATTTTCACTACTCTGGAAACCGTTGGAGCACGAGGGTCTGTTGTTACTGGCACAGAAAGATCACCTCCATTTGGGCAATATATAATTACTTGGCGTTTCGCATAAACAATAATATCGTATATGGATAATAATGCCCCTCAACTTAATAATTTAACCGCAATGTGATATACCTTGAATGCATACGTCATAAATGTTTAAATAACAAACTCAACACAAAAATTCCATTAAATTGTGTGACCTATCTAACCTATACCTATATATATTATAGATTGTGCGCTATTCACTAATTAGGCCTACGTTCTTGACTATATGTTGAAACCTATAGTCCTTGGAGATTGAAGTCTTGAATATGTAAATAGTTTTCAGAAGTACTAGACATGTACGAAAATCGCATAATTACTTTAAAAATACTTCAAACTAGGAATTTTAATCCCTATTTCTATAGATTTCTTTTTTTATATATCACAGAGTATGCTTAAAATTTTCTGAGACGTTTTCGATTGGTAAAAGAATGGCGCATCTGTCCCTTTAAAGATGTGTGTTTTTTCATCAATATTGTCTAGAGTTTATGATACGTATCTTATTTGAATTAGTAAAATTGCATGTATTTTTATATTGCCTCTCAGCGTTTTTTATTTTTTTAGTCGAAGATGCAGTTTGGTTCGTTATAACTGTATACTTATTTTTGCACCCTCCTTTAAAACAAGAGCATATATAGTTACTAAGCCACGAATAACAAAGAAAATAGAAAATACCCGTGTCGAACAGTTATAAGCATTGTATACAGCTGTAATTGATAAGTTCTAATATTTTTTTTAAAGCTTTTCTATGGTTTAATCATAAAGATTAAAAAATGTGTCGAACAATAACACGTATAACTACATTTTATACAACTATGTTATACATATTTTTATACAGTTTTTCTATACTATAATATATAAACTTAAATATTAAAAGTTCGATTTCTTGTGTAACAGATGTCCAACCATTTTCCACAGACAGTTTCTCTTTAATCAATGTCCACAGAGTGGAAGCCGATTGCGGTCATATCAACTCTTCTCTTTGCCTTCTCAACCTTTCTGCCTCGCTTTCTCGCATGTTTCTGCCTTTTCCCTCGCCTTTTCGTTCTCCCTAGCATTCTCGTGGGCGTCAGTCGAGAGTAAACCTGGCGACATATGGTTTCCATAACACATACCTGTCCGTTAGCCTATTGATTTGGTTATGAATTTCTTGAAAGGTTTTGATTTGATCGAGTAGTCTAGGCATTTCATTTAAATGAAGTCATCCCAATCTCAAACATAGTAAATGCTGGTCAAAGTGCATATAGTATTGCATATTTCCGCTGTGGTATATCGCGTTTGGGATAATCAATGCAGTAGAAATTAGAAGAAGCGAATAGTAGAGGTCAATATCCATGGAATGGACAATCTGCACAAGTTGTGCCATATCGCTTTTGGATTATCGATACAGTAGACAATAGGAGCAGTTTATAGACGAGGTACGGTGCCCAATACGGTGTATGATGTGGATTATCGATACAGTAGACAATAGAAGAACCGACCAGAGCGGTCCGGAGCGGTGTATACAGTGCGCTTTTATCGATACAATAATAAAAGAAGCGAATGCACGATGTCGTGTACGGTGCGGATTATCAATACAATGGAAAGTAGAAGTTTCACCAGCATACGACGAGTTCCAGTCAATCAGGAATAAGAATGAACAGTAAAACGTCAAAAGGATTAACAGATAAGACCCCCGAATATTGTCATGATTGTAAAAATAACTTTCTTATTTCTCTGAATTTTAATTACATGTTTTGTTTTTTTCAGTTTGGCAAACTTTAACATTAACTGGCAGCGACATGTTGCGATTAGCCAGGTTCCGATTGAGAAGAGCGCCTATGATTCTAGCTGCCGTGAGTCTAATCTTTATAGTTGTCCTATCCCACTTGTCGGAGGAGAAGCACGAGCTTTCACAAAGGGAGGTCATCGAACGAATGAACGTTTATGATGATTTTGGAAGATTGAGCGAGGAAAGAGAGCAACAAATACAAGCTCTAAATAACCCTAAAGGTGCTAAAATGGTGGACAAGGACAAGAACCTTATCAGTCAGAGAGATGCAAAGCTGGTGTTCCCATCTAATAACATAGATTACAGTCGTTATACTGATATGCTAAATATAGTAAGTTAATATTCGTTACATTTTCTTGGTGAAATATCCTTCATTGCACAATACGTGACATGATCCACTTTATCAATCGTCATTAGATCTACCAGCAATTGAACAGAAAGATTCAAAATTTATTCAGCTTTTGTTGAACGTTCTATTGGTTGAATAATACTGTACCAAAACAGGAGTCACATAAGAATTTCGTCAGATCGTGGATGTCAAGTGGAATCACCTACAGAAAGCAAAACAAAAAAGTTAAACTAAATATAAAAAATAATTTCAGGAGAAACCAAAATATCTTCCTGGTTACAAGAACCCCTGCTGGAAGGCAAAGATTGGTAATTCTACTAAGGTTCGATGTTTGCCCTACTTCCATCTACTAGGAGTTGATAAATGTGGAACCACAGATCTATGGGCTAGGATGAAGCATCACCCTGAATTGTTACCCAATGGTGGAATCGGTGGAAAGGAAACACATTGGTGGTCTTGGAGAAGATTCGGTAAGTTTTGTTACACTATACCTTCGTTCTTATTCAATTAAATATGAAGATGAAATGCTAAATTGAAAGTATGAAAATCAAGCACACGCTGGCAACTGTCATGATGTCTGCAAAGAATAATGACCAAAGGTACTACATTGCTCTTAATCGGAGCTTTATGAGAAGTTTTGTAAATAAGTGTACCCTTACTGCACCCCAGTTCTCGACCCTTACTGCACTCCAGTTCTCCACCCTTACTGCACCCCAGTTCTCCACCCTTACTGCACTCCAGTTCTCCACCCTTACTGCACTCCAGTTCTCCACCCTTACTGCACTCCAGTTCTCGACCCTTACTGCACTCCAGTTCTCCACCCTTACTGCACTCCAGTTCTCCACCCTTACTGCACTCCAGTTCTCCACCCTTACTGCACCCCAGTTCTCCACCCTTACTGCACTCCAGTTCTCCACCCTTACTGCACTCCAGTTCTCCACCCTTACTGCACTCCAGTTCTCCACCCTTACTGCACTCCAGTTCTCCACCCTTACTGCACCCCAGTTCTCCACCCTTACTGCACTCCAGTTCTCCACCCTTACTGCACCCCAGTTCTCCACCCTTACTGCACTCCAGTTCTCCACCCTTACTGCACCCCAGTTCTCCACCCTTACTGCACTCCAGTTCTCCACCCTTACTGCACTCCAGTTCTCCACCCTTACTGCACTCCAGTTATCCACCCTTACTGCACTCCAGTTCTCCACCCTTACTGCACTCCAGTTATCCACCCTTACTGCACTCCAGTTATCCACCCTTACTGCACCCCAGTTCTCCACCCTTACTGCACTCCAGTTCTCCACCCTTACTGCACTCCAGTTCTCCACCCTTACTGCACTCCAATTCTCCACCCTTACTGCACTCCAGTTCTCCACCCTTACTGCACCCCAATTCTCCACCCTTATAGCACTTGGTGATCAAGAACTACTTTTAGTGGGGGCGGGCTATTGGTTTATGTATAGTAATTTGAATAGGTAAATACATATTAACTTCGAGCTGGTAGTTTTATGCACAACTGTGTTATATCTTATATTTGAATAAAATTCCAGGTTTTGATATTTGGGTTGACGATCGTGAACCCTGGTCGTTTGAGAAATATCTAGGAGTATTTGACATAGCTGCTGGTCAGATTGAGACTACAGTTGATTTATCTGAAATGGAGGACGATTATCATCCCTTGATTACAGGTAAGCTTGATATATCACCTTAAAGGGGCTTTCCCTTTTTTTCCGTGGGTCGAAATTTTTTTAGCTCAAATTTCACCAATATCCAAAATCTAGAGACATGTGTCCCTTAGAGGGATAGTATGCAACATTTTCATTATCAAAAACGATGTAAATTATACCTGGAAATATTTCTAAAATATGCTATTTACATCTGTGTACCTACTTGATCAAACTGAATTTGTTTTAAAACGGTGAAAGAAGGTCAAAAAGACCCCTTTTTTTAGTTAAAACACCATATTGGGTGTTCCAAAACATTTACTGATTTGAGTGTGTCTAGAACAACACCTATAATCAGTGGTATAGTGGGTAGGGCGTGGCGTAAGATGGGTAAGGCGTGACGGGAGGTGGGAAGGGCGTGGCGGGAGAGGGGGAAGGGCGTGGCGGGAGAGGGGAGGGGTGTGGGTGGGGGCTGTCATGGTAACGAGTCCCAGTTTTCCAATATTGGTATTCCACTTAAATGGTATTTGGGTTTGTCAACTTGACATTCTTTCAGAGAGTTCACATAGGTAATAATGTAATTGTATAGTAGTGGACTCATCCAAAGAGAGGTACCATCAGGTGTTTCGAAAAGAGTAAACATGGCTTGTTTGGCTTGTTTAACGCGCGACACCCTTGGCATACCTTTCACGGAGTCCACATAGTTTATGATATTGATAATTTTGAAACACAACTGTAGCATTCGAGTTATCGTAGCATGTGTGGTGACTATCAACTGTTGGGTAAATCGATTTTGGTTGACAGTGGTTGAAATAAAACAATAAATAAATGTCACATGACCGTATTATCTATTGTATTTAAAGTTTATGAAACCAGAGTAGATGTGGACGAATTGTATTGTGTTTCTGTAGATTATTTAAAGGGATTGTGGAGAGTTTTTCTTAAAAAAATGATGTGTATTGGGGACACTGGTAGCGATCATCTGCACAATGTCAAGGTGTTTACGAACGTCTAATACCTTGAATACAATAGCCAAATTTCTCTTGTATCATGGAAGTTTGTAAATGCTTAATTTGTGCGTGTTTACCAATTGTAGACGAACTGTAATCTCTTTTATTATTACAGGTGAAGGTAGTCCCACCACATTCTGGGATTTTACAGGCTGGAACAGAATACCTCAGAATCAAGGAAAAACAGTCGAGGAGGCCCTGCTTACACCCCACCTTATCAAACACATAGCCCCTAAAACATTGTTCATTTTGATATTCAGAAATCCTACAGAACGGTTAGTATGAACTACTTCATTGTATGTGTGTTTTTTATACTAGACCCATCGTCAGTGTTATAGATCTCAAGAGATGAAAGACATCTACACGAAAGTATCTTGTCAGAAAGGATAGAAGCCTACACATTGTGTAAACACCTTGATAGAATAAAAACTGAGACGTATTTCTAGGTTCCTGATAGACAGTTTCAGTGTCGAGACAAAGTAAGGGCAGATTTCCAGTCCACAAGTTCTGGCTCCTCGTGTATGTTTGGGAAATGAAGCCTCTAATGGAGATGTGAGATATTGAAATTAGCTGACTTCAGTAAAATTGAAATAAAAAGGAGTTTTACATCCTACTTTTCTGCACCTTGACAAGAGTAAAGACAATCATTAAACGTCTCTTCATTACAAAATAAAGGCCATGTTTATTCTGCTTGTGATTAGGTCCGAATTGTAATCCTTTTTTTTGCAATATTTCAGATTATATTCGGATTACATATTCTTAGATTTATTCCGCCAACAGCATAATGTATCCTCGGAGAACTTTCATCACGGTGTTGTGGAATCTATTAAGATGTTTGAAGATTGTCAAATAACACGATCAATGAAGTCTTGTCTGTATGATAAACAGTTACATAAAGACATTCCTGTAAGTCTTCCGATATAATGATTCAGTTTATACATCGTCTTATACCTTGACTGCAAAAGCCGCCTATCATGGAATGCAGTGATCTGATTTGATTGTGCGGCAGGGAACACAGCCAATCAGGGACCTCGACAGAGAGACTGTAAACATTAAAGGATTTTTCTGTCGAGGCCTCTAATTGACTGTATTCGCTAACCTACAATCCAATCAAATCAGTACATTTATAAACTGCAGTGAAACAAGAAAGATGGGTATCGTTGTCAAGGTATAAGACGAAGTTCGTAATAGCTTGACAATGTGAAGATGGTTGCTCGAGGAGCGCTTTTCAATAAAATTTATGATTTGAATTGGGGAATGAAGCTTGAAAGATGACGCGAAAGTGGCTGAATTAAGAAAGAATAAGCCGATGCTATATTTTGAAATGTTTAATCCACTAGCAAAGTGAAAAGGCTATGGTGAAAAGAAAATTGAGAAAATCTGGCTATTTAGTTAAATGAAAATTATAAAATGGAGATGTCTCCCTTTATTTCTCTAACTGATAAATATACCTTGTTTTTTTCAGGTGCGAATATTTGTAGGGATGTATGTTGTTTATTTAAAGGAATGGCTAAAAGTTTTTAACAGAGGTCGGTTTTTAATCTTCAGAAACGAAGATTATTCTAAAAATATCAAGCAGCATGTAATTCATGCCTTCAATTTTCTAGATTTAAGTAAGTATTTACTTCTTCTATATTAAGAAAGAGTTGGAGTTTAGATTTAAGTAAGTATATACTTCTTCTATATTAAGAAAGAGTTGGAGTTTAGATTTAAGTAAGTATATACTTCTTCTATATTAAGAAAGAGTTGGAGTTTAGATTTAAGTAAGTATTTACTTCTTCTATATTAAGAAAGAGTTGGAGTTTAGATTTAAGTAAGTATTTACTACTTCTATATTAAGAAAGAGTTGGAGTTTAGATTTAAGTAAGTATATACTTCTTCTATATTAAGAAAGAGTTGGAGTTTAGATTTAAGTAAGTATTTACTACTTCTATATTAAGAAAGAGTTGGAGTTTAGATTTAAGTAAGTATTTACTTCTTCTATATTAAGAAAGAGTTGGAGTTTAGATTTAAATAAGTATTTACTTCTTCTATATTAAGAAAGAGTTGGAGTTTAGATTTAAGTAAGTATATACTTCTTCTATATTAAGAAAGAGTTGGAGTTTAGATTTAAGTAAGTATATACTTCTTCTATATTAAGAAAGAGTTGGAGTTTAGATTTAAGTAAGTATATACTTCTTCTATATTAAGAAAGAGTTGGAGTTTACAGTCGTTTTTTTACTCTCTCTCGGGAAAGGTAAGGTGGATTCACATTTAGATTTATGTATAACAAATTTTATCTTATATCATTATATCTTTTTTCAGAATTACCGTCTGATGACGAGATGGAAAAGATTTCCAGTCGAAAACGAGCCTTCGATCAATCTTCCAAGAAAAAATCCACAGGGCCAATGTTGGACAAAACGAGAACAATTTTAAACTCGTTTTATAAAAAATATAACGAAGAACTTGCTGTGTTACTGAACAACGAAAAATATTTGTGGAAAGAAACGAGCTAGTGATATTTTATGCTTCGAAACGGGCGTTAAATTTTTACGGGTAAGAACAGTGGACTTGTAAAATGAATGAAAGGTTGCCTTATATCGGATTAAACGTACTTAATAAGAAATTTCACGTCCCTCCTCGCTGCTACTGATGGAGACCTCAAGTTACTACAAAGAAACACACTATGGTTAACACAAAAAGATGTGTAAAACATTCAAGACGATTATTAAAACAACGAGTTATCCGTGTGCCTATGAACGAAGAATAAAATTTACGGAATCGATAGAGCGGGTTGTGCCATTGAATTGAAACATAGATAATGATGCGAAGAGGCAAGGCAACTTCCAGATGTAGAATTCTTGGGGTTTCTTCCAGTGTCAAAAGGATAAAAATGTTTAATGTTACAATAATGATTACCAAGTTGTGTTGTGGAATACAATACTTCTCTATAGTGTCCCTTAATAACCAGCTTAATTGTGCTGACTTGTGTGTATGAAAATCAAACAGTTTTGCGCAGTTCTTGGTGTTATCTTAAAGCGACTATATACAAAGATGTGATAAATATGTCATAAAATTACGTTTTATATTGTGTTTAGGGATGCATCACAATCACGTGCCTTCACAAAAAGTCAGACAGAACAGTTTCTCAGGGTAAAACATTGTATGTGGTCAACATGTACAATGGTGATTGAGTAATTTTCTTTCGTAATACAAAGTTTTTTGTATATAGTGCCTTAATGACAAAGTGAACCAAACCCAAACTAATGATACTTGATTCCTTGTAACAACCTACTACTTGGAGTGCGATGGCGCCTTCCAACAGCCAAAAAAAGGGTACAGCTTTAGAGACAACTCCTTTGAGTGTGCGACAGTTTAATGGCGGTCAATCTCAACTTACCAGTATTATTTCAATGATAACATATATATCGAAAATTAACAATATTCTGTGATATGTATTCTATGTACACGTGCGAGGCCATTAGTGTGCGAAATGAACATGGACGAATCTGTCTTAAACTCTGTGATCAGGAAATACTACTACAACGATCCGTTACTAATTTTAGCAGGGAATTGATAAATTACTCCCTTTATTTAACGTTTCTGGGTTTCTACTTTTAATTTTCTTAATCATTATGCATATTGAAAGAATTACTCCCCCCCCCCCCCTTACCCCCTCCTTGATAATTCTGTCGCTCCTATTAGCCCATCTCTCCTTCTCATTCGTGAAAACGTCGCTGTTTATTCAGGGTCGAGTTATACAGTAGAACGAGGTACTTCTGGTTAAAATATTACATGGTTCAGAAGTGATTATCAGGAGTTTGTATCCGGTGTCTTCTATAGTGCAAACAAACCCATGCGAACGTGTATGTATAAGAAAAATGTACTCGATACCGATACACATATTAAAACTAAATTCTTTGACTGTCTCCACCTGTGGGTTATAATATATTGTATATTAGTAATTGTACAGTAACTTTTAAGACTGTATTTTGTTTTGTTGTGTCATATTTTTGGACCATTTTATTTATTTATACAAGGAATAAACGACACGGAAAGAAATCGATTGTTTTATTTTGAGTTTTGTATCTAACTGTTATGTGCCTAATTTAGCAAATGAAATTAAACGGAGTTGTATGCCCTTACTGTTCCTGAAGTGACAAGGAAAGACGTCAACCCTCATTCTAGATTCTTGTGAAATGAAATCGGTTCTTTCCAAAAACAAGTGAGACAACCAAGTCACTTTTGATTCCTTCATGACATTTGCCCCCCCCCCCCTTAGAAAAGTGGTTTGCACCCCCAATTGTACCCCCACTTTATCTTCAACAAGTCTAAATGTCTACCTCTTTTCTCGAAAATATGTGGCAGAACCCTCTAAGACGCTCTATGAGAGGCATGCGACTATGAAACCACCACAGAGTAGCCAAAATTTGAATTCAGACTCAGCGGTTGTCCCCCAGTTGAGTCAATCTGCCCCCTATTTGTACCTCGGTCTCAGAAGGCTGGCTACTGTACATGATTTGTTATATATTTAGAACATGGTTTGGTTGAAAAATTCATTTTATCTCTTACTAACATGCTCTGCTCTGAAAATAAATAAAGGGAGATAATCAAGGTTCTAAAAATAAAAGTAGCCCAAAATCAACTCGTCTGGTATGGTTTTGGAAAGTAAGACTTGTGTCAAGGCATGAGGTGTTTTTAACAACAGTATTTTATCAAATGATATCGGTAATCCAACTTAACACGCCTTTATCACAACGCATGCTTTCTTGCCCTTGTTACTCCGATTTCAATGTTGTATATAAAGGACGCTCTCTTCTGGTGACGGTCTTCGTATTACTAATAATACAAAGACGTTGAATTCGAGCTCTGCTAAAAATCACCCTTGCGACTGGGTTTTTACACCTGCATTCAAGTTTTTTCCATTTCTAATTTAGCTTTTCACTTGATAACATTTTGCTATTGGCTTTATCAATTCATCATCTTTTAGAGAAACCCACATTTGGGTTTGTATATTTGATATTTAAATTTTGCCAACTAGGTTTCCCTTTCGGAGAGTTCAAATAGGTTGTAATATTATCTAATTGGTATATTCATAGTGTGATACATGAAACAATACTTTATAATTCAGTAATGATTGATAGTAATTGATTATACTGATTGATTTGAGATATCGATTACACTCTGTATTCTCAATAAGAACAATTATTCACTATTATAATACTACTACAGACACCACAGATATATCATTCTCTAGGATAGCTCTACTCGTTATTTAACTTCGAAAGAAGGGTTAGCTCTGAGGGAATCATAAAGTTTGAGAGGTGGCATATTAATTTTGACTAGGAACGCCGTCAATATGTAGCAGTTCACCAAGACTGGTAGGTTGGGAAAATGATTAGGAACTTGTCTTAGGTCTGTTATGACTATCTGTGATCTCAACATGTTGTTGTAATGGTAATCATATATTTTAGCTAAAATTGCGATTCCGAGTAAGAAAATAATTGATTTGGATTAACGGAAAGGTTTATTTTTTACTCTGTATGGAGCTAGTAGAATATTCTACATGTGGCAATATTTCTCGTGTGTTTCATTACCAAGTTATACTATGAAGATAATAACCTACGGAGGTTGATCTGAGGTGATCCAAATCATATGAGAATACACGAATGTAAAATACTTAGGTACAAGGTATATGGGCTCTCTGAAACTAATGTTGGATTAGACGTTCGCAGAGTCGCATCGGATGATCCAAAAGGTGATCCAAGGTTGCCACAGCAAAACCAACAATGTATACGTCTTAAATCGCCTGAA